GTTGGGATATTTTTTTTATATATGGCAAAAGTTGGGGCATTTTTTTTATTCTCTCTAAAAAAAAACTAAGAAAGTGCAGCCTAAATTTCGTCCAATTGTACAAAAGTGCTGGATATCCTTCGCAACACTACAGTACTCTTTCGTATTGAAGCTTGTATGCATTCACTTTTCCTCTCTTTTTTCAGATGTGGAAGTTGCATGCGGAGATTGTATACGGAGGGGGTGATGTAATGGGCAACATGGTTTTCTAGGCAATTCATCAAATGAGGGCCTGGGTGACAGTCTATTTTATCCTCTAGAGCTCAAGTTAACGATTCTTAGCAAATCTGTGCCTGTTACAAATCACGACCGACTAATATAATCAAAGAGTATGGAACTTGTACTTCCAACAATATACACGCAGCTGGCGTCGATAGCACCATGCCCAAGAGTTAGACGCTTGCTAAGCATTAATTGAGTCCATTTATTTGATCACTCAATGTGGAAACACACAAAGACTCGTTCTTCATTGCTTATTACTCATGAAAACATTGGCAGTACATGCATTGTTTTTCCGCGGCAAGGCGTTCCTCCTCTTTCTTTTTCTTTTCGGCAAGCTCAATTTCGCGCTGTTGAATCTCGGCAAGCTCCTTTTGACGCTGCTTGATATCGGCAAGGATATATTATCTTCTTCTCAGCTTGCACACTTACAAATTTTCAAACTTAGTTTGCCTACTAAGTCCTTTTTGGTGATGTTGTGTCCGAACGCATCAAAGAAGCGCTTTTTGACCATCTTGCACAGATTTCAGAACGATATACAGCAAATTGACAAACAATGATAAGCTTTATAGATTTTATATTTAACAAAATAGGTTCTCAAAAGAAATTTGGTCTCTAACGATTCTTGCATTCCCGAGGTACGCGAAATTTTGGCATCAAATTGCATATTGCACTCAATGTGATAGTTTAAACAATTTGTCTCCAAATTTTGCACCCGACTTTCAGCTCTTACCATATTCAAAATCGATGCATTTGTCAGATCCACCAATACACACGAATTAATCGACCTAAACAATGCGCTGTATCTCAAAGTGATTTTTTATACAATGTGACTTCAAAATTTAATCATGCACAAATCACCCGAGAGAACAAAACGACAACAATTATGAATGAAAATCTTATAAATTCGCTCATTCATAAGCACAGTCGAGATGTACGATCTTTATGAAGCCTTCTCCATCAAGTGAATAGGCTTAAGAATGGAAATTTTGTTCGTCTCCACGATGTATCCATTCATGACCATCTCGTCCAGAATAAAATGCGCTTTTTCTAAATTAAACATGATCTAAAACAAAACAATCAAGGACATGAGACCGCGAGTATTAGTCGAAAATCGCTGGAAAAAACACTTACATCGAGCTCGCACTTCAATAAAGACGTCATACATGAGTACAGAAACATAACCAGTTTATACAGTTCTCCCTATACAACTTCAGCTTCCAAACGTACCACACTTTCGAAGTATTTGTCCATTGTTTCAACAAGAGCATGAATAAACTCCAAAATACCGAGCTCATTCTACCATCAGCCTTAACTTGAGATCGAATTCCGCCCAGACTAATCGTCATTTAACCCACGTACCTCCGATTCGTCATCCTTAACACCAACAATGAAGAACAGGGATGCATATCGTCTGTAAATGACTTTGTAGCCTCGATACTCCACAAACGAGCACTTTTTAAGATGTTGAGGGGGCAGTTAAAAGCTACGATTGTATACTTTTAAAACGAGAAGATGGCTAACCTGCGTCTCGTTACGACCAAGACACTTGCGAATGATCTCAGCCTCAAGAGCCACACGCTCCTGTATAGATAGGAAATCGTAGTACTGTGCCAGCCGTGTCTGGCCTTGCTTGTTTACCATCAGTACAAACTTTATCATGGTCACGGCTTGGGCACGTGGCTTTCTCCAAAATTACCGATTGCACCATTTTGTCAAGATTATGTTTCATGTGTACCACGTGATAATCATTGTCCATGAAACGTCGTAAAAATGATCTTTGACGTGCTGCAACAAGTGTTGAACGAGCTCTTTCTGGATGTACAAGAGAGCAATTTTTCTCTTTACGCCGGTGATCTCTTTGGTCGGATTTCAACAATTCAAATAATAAAATTCTTTCTCTGACTTTTATGTTTTCCATTGTGCTCTAGAATCCAGCTACTTTAAGCTCACCGACGTCTTTCTCAAGCCTTCCGTGAGTCTTTTCACGCGTGAGCTATAAATTGCTTTATATGAATCTAAATCTTCATTACTGTAGTTTGTGAACCTTCTACAGCTGCCATTTGAGTTGTCTGCTGGGTACGTTGGTAACATTACAGTCGAGGGTCTCGTGGGAGCTGTGGCGGGATGGCCATTGGATATCAGCATTAGCGACCTTTGTCTTGTACTGAAACCCAATCACGTAAAGTGGGGGAATGAGCAGCTCCTTCGCTATGCCAAGGAGCTGCTGGTTGCACTCTTCCAATGTTTTGGAGCACCTGCAGCTGTTCAGAACGATAACACATCCTTCATCTCACCTGTGAAGTGGATCTGGGTCTGTTCAGTGCTGTGCTACTTTAAAAATCATAACTTGTTCGGTAATGTTACTTATTGCCTCCACGCAGAGTCGAATACAACCGGTTAAGGCAAAAACAAATATCCAGCTAGAGCGTGTTCATCTTCGTGTGGAGGTGCGTTTTGTCTGCCGTACAAAGGAAACTTAACCCGTCCTTGATTTTAAGAAGACAGCTTTTGGTTTTAACAGAGTCAACGCAGCGATAACATGATAACTTACGGGATTTTTGTTCCAGTAAGAAACATTTCTTTGCAGCAGCAAGCATGCATGCATCTTAACCACTAAATCCTTAGTTAATTAGCTTTGCCCCGCGTGAAGTGGAGGAGCAAATCTTACAACGACGTCAGCAACCAGGTGTGACATATGCTAAAGCTTCCGATATGGTCTCGTCCAAACTACTCTCAATTGAGAACATGTCATCATATACTGACCTCGACGCCAGCCCATACTGGATTAGACCAGTTGAAACTCAAACCACATCAACTCCAGCAAAGTCGTACCTTAAGAATGCCAAAGTCAGGCCCGATTCCTCATTGCGTCAATACACCTTTGAAGATGCCCTGGAACATTTCAGAACACGAGCACTTATGCCGTTTATTCGCGCTGAACATCGTGAGATTGTATTCGCACGCGTAATTTGGATAAAACTCGACTTTGAAAGAGCCCAGCCAATCCCAATGATGAAACGAGGCTCAACGAAGCTTATATTGATCGCATTGGACATTGCTACGGAAGCGATCGCGATAAATATTGATTTCGATCAAATAGCTGTGATACGAGAAGAAATCGATAATGTAGTCGCTTACTTTCAACGTATACGCACCTGGCACTGGCGTCCATCCTGCATCGATAGATTGCATCATACGCCACCAAAGGTTAAAGTGTCGGCCAGCGCTCTTTTTCCGTTGTCATTAAGTGAAGAGGAACATTCTATTATATGTCACGAAAAGCAGGTCAAGTCTAGGCTATGGTTTCGCAGCATGTGGAGATATGCTTTTAGGTGTATTATTGACCAACAGCAAAGAGTAGAGCACCAACTTGGGGATGAAAAGAGGAACTCTAGAATTTGGTGGCGGGTTGACAATCTCAAGGACAAGAAGCTTCAAGAATTTCGTCGCCAGCGCTATATTCACTTGTACGCACGCTATCTAAGTCCTGATGCCATGGAGATTGCATTATACGGTCGACGAAAAGCGCTTTTTGGATTGGGATTACCGCTGGATCAACCGAATGAAATTCCTTCTCCACCGTCTCCGCGACGCCGGCCCTTGCCACGGTTTGACGCGCTTAGCCACGATGAATTATGGGAATTTTCAGATTTCATTGCAAGCATGTCTGTTTCCGAGCAACGAATATGTCGAGCCCTTGCAGAGCAGCAACTTCGAAAAGATTATACAACTGCCCCTCCCTCTCCATCGCGAAAAATTTCGTCCACGATGGAAATTTCAGTTTTTCATGGTGATCTTACGTCAGATCACTCTGTGCAGCATAGCCGACGTTATTCCGTCGATAGTATTAAGGTTGGTGTAACAAATCAACTAAGTCTCACACCGGAGGAGACTGGATATCGTCACAAGCGAGGAATGACCATTGCGTTAACAGGTGATGAGTATTCCACATTTCGCGCGTTTCCCACAGAGTCTCAGCTTCAATCTAGTCCAACAAGCAACCAGCCAAGTCGCGAGATTGCTTCTACGTTGCGTTCATTTCAAAAGAAGCTGCAACCGGTAATTTGTCAAATTACGCCGCGCCTTGAAAATGAGTTTTTTCCTGCTTGGGTTTTTGATCCGACTAAGGTTATCCCTCTTTTCAACTGGCACATAGGTCCTGTAACGGTTCGACTCAACGTACATGCAGGTGACTTGGAATTTGGTGTCATTATTGACATAGGCGGCTGTGGTGGTGCGGTGCTTCTTAGTAAAATACCTTTTCTAAGTAGTTTGATGGAAGTGCGTATTGGATTACTTCACGTCACATTAACAAGACAAGCACGGTTTTCAAGGGATAAAACCAGCATCGACTTGGACCCCATAGAGTCCAGATGGATCTCGAGCAACTACATTCGTACCCCGGAAGACGGATTCTTGTACTTTGGGGTGAGGTACTCTGCGAAAGATGTAGAGAGTGGACATTCGGATGAAGACGTTTGTCTAAAGGGAAGATTGTGCATCGGCCCCATCACAATTGATTGCAGCGATGCTGCAAAGAGCGCAGGAGTGGGTCAGGCGATTTTTCACGAACTTCAGATGTCATGTACGATGTTGTTTGCCTTTTGAATGATTGTAATTGACTTGTTTTCTAAATTTTGGATAGATTTAACCTTTGAGAAAATAACGCACTTTTCGTTGCTTCGAGATGCTTGCCACAGATTATTTGCTTTACTGTCGAAGCAAAAGCATGCACACATACTAAATACAAGTCCACGTGTCGAAAACAAGTTCAATACCTCTGGTATTGACCATCAGGTCCAAGTGGACCAACCGAGGCCCATGAGGAGTTCGAGAATGACACGATTGTTTCATGCACTGCTACTGCCCTCCTCTACATTTGCTATAGAAGTTGGCACACTGGAGCTCAAATTGATAGCAAACACCAGTTTCGTTGAAAATTCTCTTTCTTGCCAAAATCCGACGAAATCTAAAATTACCCAAGCTACACAAACTTTTGAAGATGTAAACATAAGGCTGCAAGAGACTGTCTATCGGCTTCAAAATTGTCCGTCAGTAAATCAATGCATTGTGGATATTGCTGGTGTCCGAGTTGTTTACCAATCCACGCAACGAGGTCGTGCGGCGGTCATTCGTTACCTCGCTCATTTTATCAAGCATTAAAAACGAGATTCTTACGTTGTAATAGTAAGATAAACAATTTTAGTTTTCTTTCCCTCTCTGGACCCTATCGCTTCCTCGCTTTTCGTACTATTCGTTTTGTAGACTTGGTTTCGATCAAAACGACTTTGCAGCGTTACCCTAGATAAGCTTCTTCGCGTGAGTTCAAGGTAACGCATGTCATTTGGAGCAGTGTACCATGGTGCACCTAAATTGTAATTACCACCAAAAGCAGGTTTACTTACGGAATTGTGAGAATTTTGAAACCTCCCAGTTGTTTGTCGACAAACGTTACTCGCAGGTAAATGGGCAATATTGCTTGACACAGTCAAATTGTGTATTGCATGAGTTACAGCATCAGGTGGCTGCCATCGTACACTAGATAAGTCAGCATTTGAATATGTTTTTAATCGGGATACCAATAAAGGTGGACAGAACTTGTTGTTGATCGGATTGAGCGCTACCGCCACTTGATTCATGGAGATTGTGTTTCCAGCAGGTTGCCGAAATCTGTTCTGGAAATGCCGGTCGTTTAATAAAGGGTCGGCCTCGTAACTTCGACCTATTCGAACATCCGACACTTGATTTGAGGAAACAGTTGAGATGGATTTAGAGCTTGAGACCATATCAGAACTAAAATTTTCACCCAAGGTCAACTTTCTTCGACTCTGTGGTCGTCGGCTATGCTTTTCATTACAATTTTCCTGACGGTAATTGCGCGAGATCTTATCCATTGTATTGTGAAAGAAAATCACGTATTCACTTAGTCGATTAGTTGGCGTCATCTAATGCACAACAGTCACTTCAAAGGTAAGCAAAATGCAACAGCTAAGTGCCAGCTTCAATAACTGCGTACAATGTGTGCGAGAGTGAACAGCAACCGATTAAATTCGCTTTTGACAAGGGGGTTCTCTTTTGGATCCCAGTTTAACCATGTTGAGCGCATGATTAAGGACACGAAGTTCTTGTGACCCGTTTTTGTGTTTGCTTTGACAAGTACAGATGCAAGATCATAGTAGAAGTTGCGCAGCTATTCAATCGCCATAATAGCGTTAGGTATGCAAATACATGACAAAATTAGATAGGTGTCTTACAATGTTTTGATCGATGGTTTGCTTACTGTCTGCGTAAAATTTCCACCATGCTTCCAAGCATTTCTCGATAGAAGGCAACTGAACCATACAGTTAATATCCAGGACCGTTTCGTCCAAAAAATGCACCAGGTTTTCAACACTTGCAGAGCGAGCAAAGGGACTTTTGACCTGTTTTACATTCGTTTCCACTTCTGCTTGAGCCAAGGAGTCTAATTGTTCTGCTTGAAAGTGCTTCCATTTGTGTACTGATCGCAGCGAGCTCACGAAAAATGGAACGGTCTCTCTTATCGAGAAAACGAGCTTTTTCACCTTCGGCATAACTGGTCTTATGAATTAAATCTGTCCATATGCTGCAATGGCTATTTACAGCCAACCGACAAGTCCCGTTAGTGCCTCAATTTATATCACTTAAAAATGTTGATCACTTTCAGTTTTCAATTTAAAAATGTCCAGGCCTTCTTCCGGCACGTTGTCGGGGATCTCGTGGATTTACCTTGCCTCTACGCGTAGCATCATTCAGCTGAAGAGAGAAGGCTGGACGCAAAATTTCAACGGAAGGCTCTGCAGTTGGTGGGTTTTGCGTAGGAGATTGGTTATTTAGCCAACCTCGTGTTGAATGTTGAGATTGTGGCGCAGTTGTCGCCGATAATCTTTCCGAGCGGTGTGTCGACCTATTTATGGGTGGAAACTGATCACATGTACTGGACGGAAGTTGATCTGACGGATGCGGTCCTGGATGTTGCGCATATTGTTGTTGTGATTCTATTTGCTGCATCGGTGCACCTCGGCCACGACCTCGGTTACCACAACCACGGTCTCCTCGCTGTCCACTACGTCGTCCACTGCTATTTCCTAGTCCTGCTCCCTTCCAACCTTCCTTAATCGACTTTTCGTATTGCTGTAAAGGCCCTTGGGAATAAGACTTTCTCGATGCTCCTCTCGACATCTCGGATGGCTGTTCCATTGGCTTGAGCGTGAGTAAGTTGCACTGCGGATTTTGTACATGCACAACACAATGGCGATTGTATGTGTGGTCCAAAAGCGCTGACCATGGCTCTGAGGAACGCAGTGTGTCCTCTTTTCCTATCACATAGCAGGCAAACTTTGCGCGCGTAAGTGCTACGTTCATGCGCCGAATATCGTTTAAAAAGCCAACACCAGCTTTAGGGTCGGCTCTGACAGTGGATACTGACGACATTATACATAGCTTGTCAATTGTCGTTACTTGTACAAAAAAATAGGTACGTACAGATAACGATGTCTTTTTCGCGTCCTTGAAATCCATCGACTGTATTGATCTCGACTTCTTGCTCGTAACGCTCGCCCAATGTACGCCGAAATCGATTTCTTAGCTCTTCCATTTGCTGGCTATACGGCGTGATCACACCAACTTTTCCGGCGATCGCGTCTGGAGGACATGAGTTCTTCAAGGTGAGATATAAATTCACTGCTAACTCAGCCTCGCCAACATTCATGCGAGAAACTGACTTTGTACTTTTTTCGCGACTGCTCAGGAGGTTCCAAAACACTAGTGGCATAAAAGCAGCTCCAAGACTGTGATACGATTTAATGTAATCAACGCTTTTAACATTTTCTCCGTCCTGAAGCTTGCCCTCATAAAAGTAGTTTCTTGGAAAATCAGAGATCATCGGGTGACTATAATATTGTGACAAGCAAGCAATAAGCCAACGTCACCGCGCAAGTTCACAATATTTGGTGCATCTGTATACCTTCTATACTGAGTTCGTAGCATATGCACTGGATGCTCGCAGCTTTCCAAACGCTCAAATAAACTACGTTCGTACAAGGATTGCCCGCTGTTACGAGAAAAGACAGTGGCTGAAAGTTGCTGCGGATCACCGACAAGCACGCATTGTTTGCTCCCAAACCTAACATTCAAAGCCGAGGAATCTGTCAGCCTCATCCAAATGTTACCCAACGATTAATTGCCGTCGTACGCACTTCATGGGAATTATAGTGGACAATTCAACGGCTTGAGCTGCTTCATCAACTACCAGTACGTCATAACGAGCACTTGCATCAAGTGCAGCAACACCCGCGCTGCTCAATGTTGTAAATACAATATGTGCTGTATCCAAGAAAGAAACTTCTAGCGATTGCCGCGTGGACTGCGAAAGTTTTCCTCTCATTTCACGAACTGCTTGCCGGGCAAACTCATATCGTTGTAACTCCAGCTTGACCTAATCATACTCAAACTTAGATGTCTATGGTGCAAGAGTGAATGAACAAAATTTCAATTTACGCATACCTCGGAAAGCTTTTCTAAGCACCCGTTGATTCGCTGAGCCATCACCACGTAGGGGTGATACCGTGAGTAGTCAATGGGGCCCCATTCTTTACTTTCATTCACCAGATCTGGAACTACGGGAGACGGCAAACGTGGAGACTGTGGCATCATAATTGTTGGGGACGATGGATGACGCTGATTACCTGGATGTTCTTGTGGCGGTGGCGATGGCAGATGCAAGTTGTAAGGCGTGGTATCGCTGTGGTCATTGCCCTCATTCAGTCGCGGCGACACATGAACGTGATCAAATTTATGATTTTGAAGTGATTTATCCTTACTCGGTGTATCGTTGGCTTCGTCATCATTGACTTCAATCGGTCTACTAGCTGATCCAGTTCTGATATTTCCGCCCTCATTCTCGCATTGTTGCTCGCATGACTGTGAATGACATGTGGCAGGAAATGGTTCGTCCTGCTCCTCTTTATCTTCAGCTTTGACTCCGACTGGCAGTGGTTCATCTTCTTCAGAGTTGCTTCCATCGTCCAAAAATGCATTTAGTGCCTTTCCACTTGCCTTAGCGTCAAATAAATCTTCCTCGCTCCAAACCGGTGGTGAGGCTTCGAATGAAGCAGGAAATTCTTCATCTTCTTCATCATCTTTTTATATATCGGTGCGATATTAGTGCCATTAAACTCACTTGAAGCACAACCTTTTCTCAAAAAGTAAACTTACCAGATGTTTGAAGAACAGGGCGCGGTGAGGGCGGTGAGGGCGGTGGAGGTGAACCAGGATATGTTGATACCGGCGCTGATTCCGCCGGTATCTGTCCTATCCGAGGCTTAGGTGATAAAAGTAGTGAAGGTGGTTGCGACAAAGTGTGGGCTTCGGCCGCTGCATGCGCAGCAGCGTCAGCAATCTCTTCTAGCGCGGTTTTGGGGTCCTTTTCAATCCATTCAACAATATATCGTAATTGGCCACGTAAAATTACCGAGTCGCGCTCCACCTAGTAAAATTTGAACGACATCACTTAAGCGTCCGCTTATTTACCTCAGTGAAAGGGCATAAAATCGGAAGAATACGTACTACCATCAACTCGTGGCGCAGACGGCCGATATGTCCTTCGAGAACATCGAGCGGCTGGCTGCAAATATGATCGACTTGGTATTCTAAGCCTACACTTTGAACACTGGTGCTCTGGTAACAGCATTGATTAGTAAATTTTGTTCTGCATCGACTGGTGATAGCCAGCAGACGTACCAGCCCTCGTCCAACACGAACAATTTTAGGAAAATATCGTCGCCCCTCTCCATCACAAAATCCTTCCTCAATCACTTTGCTCACGATGTTATCAACTGCTGCGTTTGAAGGCGCTGTAACCAAAATATGAGGCTTTTCATTTCCCACCTGTGCCCATGCTTTGGCTGTTTCGCTGTCCGGTCGACGCGCCACGTCCAGTACCGCATTGTAATATCGATTATACTCCCGCAAATGCAATGAATTTAGCAAGCCTTTTAATGTCGTAGTCTTGCCTGTTCCTGGAGGGCCTTTAATGAGTGTAAAACCCTGCGAAGTCGCCGCTGCGGTAATGGCTTCCCTCTGCGATTCGTTAAAAGTTTTTTTAAGCCACTGAACATATTTCAAGCCAAGTGAATCAAGTTGCATTGTTCCTTGCTTGTGCTCACCAGACAACAATAACGGCAATAATCCGTAATGGCTACAGTCACAAAGTGCTCGAAACTCGCGGACACTGGTAATGAGGTTATTAAGTTTAAAAAGGTAGACTTTGTCCAGCTTTTCCAGCACACTTAGTCCCGTTCGCAAGATCGTCATAGTCAGTCCCTCTTTTGATGCTCGCTGGGTCGCCACAATCGCCAAATATCCTACATGAGTTGCGTCTAAGGACTCATTGACTGTTTGGTCAAGGCCAATTCTTGTCGAGCCCAAAATTTTACGAAAGTAGTCTTGATCTGGCGAAAGGAGTACCAAATCGTTTGTAAACACGTCGTGTAAGTGATCCCAATTACCCTTGCGTCGTGGCCCGGATGTGGTTGGCTTTTTAAATTCTACGCGAATCTTGCAGCTCTTGGAAATAAAAGTCGTTCCAAATCCTTTCACAGTAACGGGAATGGGGTTTGGATGGTCTGTCGTCACAGCATTAATCGTCTGAGCCTGAACTTCTTTCAACGCTAGTGGCTTCCAAACTGAAAAGTAGTGATCATAGGAGTGAAACTTGCTTGGAACTTTCTCGACTTCATTCCCAACTTCACCTTCCTCTGAGTCATCATGTAAAGTCTGACATGAGTGGCTCCTTTGACTTTCTCTTTTTAAAGCCTCGTCAAACTTCCAATCTAAAATGTTGTCAAAAAAGTTGTCAAGAGTGTATGTAGTCGGTGCACCACTGTACGAGACCGACGTATGCTGATTGTTTCGATCAGCACTCACTTGCATCACGGCTCGTTTTGACTGTTTCACAGGTCGTCGGTGCGTTTCAGTTGCTTCAGCTTTAACGGATATGTTCCCGTTACTCTTTGAGGCATATGCAACGTTCTGTACTGCCTGTGTCGCCCTTGGCTTAGTCTTTGCAGTATGAGACGGCAATGAAGTCACTTTGTTTGAAAGTGCGCTAACTTTTTTCGTAGAATTTATTGCAGCTCGGGGCGTTTGGGCTTGATCCGAGTCGTCGCTATCAATGACTTTCCTTTTATTCACTCGAGCGCGCCGCTTAGCCACTCCTTCGTCAGACGATTCAGAGTCTACGAGTCCGCCTGCTTCAAAAGTGGCACTTTCCTCTTCTGCATCAGGCAACCACTCCTCCTCCGACTCTTTAACGCCCTGCAAGCAGATAAGCTAGTGAGAATGAGGTTTCTCCCGCCATAATGGTAAGTGACATGAATTAGGATGTAAACGACTAAATACAACCTGACGTATGCGTTGAGCATGTTGCGCAATCATCTTAGCCATGCATGGAGCGCGAGCGCCTGAAGTGGCTTCCAGTCGCGATGACCGCCGCATTGTCGTCGATTTTTAGACGAACAAGGCAAGATAGAAGCTGTTTTGGCTCTATACAATTCTTCTATAAGCTCTGAGGAGCCTCACAAAGCTTTGGACCTGCACAGAAAAACAAACGAAATTTTCTCGTGTCCCGCAACGTATGGTCTGCTTCTACAACGGCGGCTCGATGAGGCAGTGGCAAATGAGCAAGTGAACGCAAACGTGCGAATTAGGATAAGGTAATGTAACGCGAAGGTCGTATAAACGAAAGGTCACTCAAATAAATTTAAGTCAAACAACTTCAATTTGAGCTTGACATTCTAACCAGGTATCAGCGCGACTGTCTCCGCACGCTTATCGCAGGTGCATTGTCTTCGATGACATGGCCAATTGCAGGTGGTATGCGGCCATTAATCTTTTGGCTTACTTGCTCTTGCTTGATCGAGCGCAGGTAATTCGGAGACTTGAGAAATTTGTTAGGTGTGCGAGCGCCAGTGACCCACGGATGTGCCAGCGTCTGCTCTGCCGTGTACCGATCAGCTGAGTCTATCTCTGTTCGATACAAAGTACAACAAGGAATTTAGCGCATACGTAGACAAAGGTGTATCAAATTTAGAACCTAAAAGATTGCGAAGTAAATCTTTTGCACTCTCGGATAAGCCGCTTGCCCAGCGCGGAAAGCGAAGACCAAATTTTGCCTGTATTTACATGCCTCTGTTAGCTAAACCATTACTGCATACCTTCAAATCGAACAAAAAACGTACTCGAGCAGCTTTTTCACTGGCGATTTTGCCACCGTCATCGTCAAACGGCAGGCATCCACACAGCAAGACATACACGATGATCCCTAGCGCCCACATATCAACGGACATGGAGTATGCTTGGCGCTGCAACATCTCTGGCGCAAGATAACCTCTTGTTCCCAAAAATGAAGCCGTCTTGTCATCGGCGTCCAGCAGCTTCGCTAGTCCAAAATCGATGATTTTCACGGCGGCACCACGCGACTTGCTCGTCAGCATCAGATTTTCTTCACAACAAAACCAAGGTATTTTAACCAATAAATTAGCGCAAACAAAATGTTCTTCATAAACCTGGCTTTAAATCTCGGTGAATAATTCCGCGCGTGTGCAAATAGGCCACAGCCGACGTGATCTGGCGGACGATGCTGCTTGCTTCAACCTCAGACAACGTTCCCCTATCAACAACATAGTCGAATAATTCGCCTCCACCCATGTACTCCGTAACCTGTACTCACGCACCACGACCTTATCTACGTAGCGGCAAGTAACTTTTTCTTATGCGAACCTACCATGCAGATCTTAGAATCGGATATAAAGACATCTTCAATGTGGATAATGTTAGGATGTTTTAATGACTGCAGCACTTGGATCTCGACCTTTTTCGCGTAAAAGCAGCCACCAAAATAAATGTAAGCGATGTGTGGTGCACCATCGCGTCATTCCTTACTTGAAATTGTTCCATTACAACATTGTGCTCCCGTTCGACGGCACGTCGATCGATAATTTTGCAAGCGTGCGTCATTCCAGTGCGTCGATTTTGGCATTTGTACACAATGGACGTGCCTCCATGACCTATCGATTTAATTAAGAATATATGCCAATAGACCTGAAAGTTGCAATCGACACTCGCACCAATTTCTCCTAGCAATTCGTATTTAGACTCAATATTCCCATTGCTGTACATTGGACCCTGCAACTTTATCGGCTGCACATCATCGCAAAACATATATGATAATCGTCAACATCCGTAACCGATAATTTCAATCCAATGACCGCGTCGTATTGCCTGTGGCTCTGACGTCACTGCTCGCGAACCAGCAGCATGTCCGTCCCGTTCATGTGTAAAGCCATTAGCTCGCCGCTTGCCGGGCTGTAATTCTTCCCGACCCTTTACCCCGCAGCACCAAGACTGCACTGCGCCCATTCAACTTCCTATTCGAATTGAAAGCAGCAACCTAGCAGACAATGCGGCTACACTGTCTTCAATAGCGTATCCGTTTTGGCAGGTAGGTAAACTCACTACTACACTTTTTGAATTCTTTGTCTAAATCATATTAATTTTGATGAAATGTTTTACGACACATTTGATTTGAGGCATCGCCCAGATATGCATGTGCGAAGTCAAATTTGTTGTGAAGAATCAATCTGCTCAAGACATTTGAGTAGCGCGAAAATGAAACGCGCGATATCCTCAAGCTCGACCGAGCTACTGATTACAAGCCTTATGACATATTTTGACAAATTTTAAATTTCGACTTTCCAACCTGCAAACAACCCAAGAGGCCCTTCAGCTACGTCCTTCACCATACATGGCCGACCTACAGACGCTTAGACACGAAGTGGAGGCGCTAAAACTGCAGCTACAGCATAAGCGCAAGAATACAAAGGAGACCCTTTCTATTAAAGATCTATCCAATCGTGAACAGCACGCCACCGTCGGAATTCGGCGAGGCAAATGGTGGCTCCAAGATCGCCAAATGCTATCTCGTGCTTTTGCAGCCGAAGCAGGTAAGGTTATCGTGAAATTGCGAGAGACGTGGATCTGGAGCGGTCGGACGGTAATTCTCGACAAAATTGCGTGGCTTGATGAGATGATGCAGGAAAATCCGTTGATGCTGACTACAACAAATGAAGTGGCAGAAGAGATCGAAGTGTCGAGCGAAATGCTCGTTGACACCTCTCAGAGTCTAGTACAGCGGTTTGAGATAGGAGAACTAAACCAAACAGCATCTGAAACAACGGATAGCGCAGAGGCCAGTAAAACTTTGCCGTCATCAAGCGCAGAAAGCCACGGCGAGGTGCGTGAAAGTTTGGCCCCAAATGCAATGGTAGCAAGTAATCCTAGTGACTCCAAATTTATCTAAGTGCCACATTTAAATTGCACGACAAATGAGTCGAAAGCTTTAAATTTCTGATCAATCGTTTATGTGGCGAATAATTCCATATGCAAACCTTACAACTAAACAAACAAAGTGCTGCTACAAATTGAAGTTTTCTGCATCAATTTCTTATACAAACAACCATCACAGTATAATATACTATATTATACTGTGATGGTTGTTTGTATAAGAAATTGTTCTAAGCAATATCATTAATAAGTTTCGAGCCAAACTCGAGATTTAAAGTGTTAAAAGTTTATATGATAATAAACACTTTACTGTGATGGTTATTTGTATTGTGTCCGAAAACGTGACAACAAACAAATTCACGTTTCGGAAAACAAATTGAGCTTATCACGCTCTTAGCCATACAACGATCTAGAATTATATAGTTACTTGGCAAAAGCTATGACGCTAACGCGGTGGACTGCAGTGTCAATTCTAGCGTCGGGAGCGCTCTGTGCCGCTGCAGGTGCTTGGCTGGGTTGCTACCTGCTGAAAGTCAGGCAGGATCGTCTGCAGAGCAATGACCCGCGAGTAAAGAAGCTAGAGCAGGAGCTGGAACGTCAGAAGCGACTTCGGGCGCAAGAAAGAGCTGGACGGACGAATGCCGAGCGGGGTGTACGAAGAGCATTACAGAAGCTGCAAGAATTAGAAGGGTACAATTTGCAGGCCGTGGCGCATGTGCAGTCGTGCTTCGCGGACCGTCGAGGCACCCCAAGGCAAGGCGGTCTCGTGAGAAACTCGAGGGCGCGCATCAAATTTAAAACGAATATTTCTCCAGCGAGTTTCGAGAGTCTGGAGCAATTTAGCCACATGTGGGTGCTTTTCATCTTCCATAAAAACACAAATTTAGCGAAGACCACCACCAAGACAACATTTCCTGCCAAAATTGCTCCGCCGCGGCTCGGAGGCAAGAAAGTTGGAATTTTCTCAACGCGCACACCACATCGTCCCAACTCCATTGGTCTCTCAGTCGTTAAGATCGAGGCTATAAATGACCGGTGTATCGAGATTAGTGGTCACGATCTCGTGAACGGCACACCTGTGCTTGATGTCAAGCCATATGTACCCGCTGACAGCGTACCAGGGTACGTCATACCGGACTGGGTCGCAGCGGAGTCGGACGTTACGGTAAGAAAGGTCGAGTTTACACCAGAAGCAACAGCGACTCTTATCCGTCTAGTCGACGCGAAGGTGTCGTCTTTCTACTCGACCATGACGGACTTCAAGACAGCGATCGAGCAGGTGCTGGTTCTGGACATCCGTAGCGTCTATCAGGGTCGTGGGCAAGCTGTAGAGGCTCAGCGCTTTAACTGCCGCTTCGACTCTATTCAGGTCGAGTTTATGACGCTAGACAATTCCATTCGCGTCATAAGTTGTTCGAAATACACTACATCACCCGAAGCATGTTCTTTGGAAGAAGAACAGTTGTTGATTCCATCTATTTACTAGTGGTCCTCAGCAAAATACTGCGCAACAAAGCATCAACACAAAGGCAAAAGTGTTACGTCGAGAAAATCAAACGATGAAAGAAAACAAGCACAATTTCGTTAGATTAAATTACCTACATTTTTCTACGCTCTACAGAAGTCGATCGTTTTGTGCTAGGCAAGTTTAGATATCAGATGCACATTTATGCCATCACATATCCACGAAGGATGCTCAGGTGTAAATTGACTACAAGTGCTATCAAGTGCAGCGGGGCTGCCGCAGCTCTTTCGCTTAGAAAAAGTTTAATTAAGGTGGATGACCTTCGTTCTATACTTAGAATCAGTACGAGTGCAGCTGATCGCAATCCACTTGCTCCAAGAGTAAAAACTAACTCATCCCTTTAGATGCAAACTGAAATTTTCGGTTTTATTGCGGCAAAGCCGCTAATATCGAAATCTATAGGTTCTCCTATGTATATAATAACACCTAATTAATTGTAAAACTACTGGCAGTGTTCCAGCTACAAACTGGCTTCCTGTTTAAGTGAAGCCTCACCATCTTGTGTCATCCACACCCTTCATACTTGGGCACGTGAAACCCCGTTAAAGTCGTCGTGAGCCCCACGACAGGCGGGACAGGTGTCGCAAAACTTCTCACCGTTGGATAATGCACAGAGCTCGAGAATCGTGCAGCGGGGATGATACGTGCGATGAGCGGTCTTGTGACACCGGGTTGAGCCGGGGTGCTGAGTCAAGATTCCCAAGTCCACACAATCGTTCAGATCGAAAAACATTTCGGTATCCTCGCCGATAATCTCTTAGTGCATTGGTCACGAGACCCGGGCCTTTTCCAGGAGCTCGCTGAACCATAATTTTGGCGCATGTGAGCGGACTTCTGTTCTAGGTATGCTCTAAAAGAGATGTGCGGTAAAGTATGGGGACTTGTGCTGAATTCCAGGCGCAGTGGTTGCACGTTAACCGGTCACATATACGAAGTGTGAACCCCTGTATAGTCCAAATCTTAGTGATGAAGGGTGTAACGGTGTATGTACTATAATCTCATGGGCTTATTCCTTACACTTTTATATCTGTATGAAAACAAATTTGTACTAATGCGTCAGAATCATGATAAACGAATATTCAGGGTACCAAAGTATCGCTATTTAAGCGCATAATGCTACTTCCAAAATTAGGGGTCCATGCCACACATGAGTAGCTAGCGGCATGTCAGAGAATATAGACAGTTTGACTATAAAAATGATAAACATAAATACTTCGAATTTACCAATATCATGAAGTCTTAATGTATGTAACTAGAAGTTGTAAATCTACTTCGACGATTCGTATCGGCAGAGGCTTTTGATTCCACTCTTGGTCGGTGCGCACAAATCCAACTGTAGTGTGCTTTAAACGTTAGCTCTTAGAGTAAAGATTTCTTTGTGCAAATTGCACGGCGACACCGTTGCACTTGTCGTCAATCCGACAATTTCACTGTATTCTTCGTGAGGTTAGAAAACAACTTGCCCGATTATCTGTCCTTAAGATAACTAGACTTGCTTTTTATGCTCACGTCTCCGACAAAGAGTGGATGCATTCACAACCTGTTTCCACTGTGAGGCTGTTGTTGTTAAGTATCTAGCTCGTAAAGTGCACGGGCAAGGAAATTAATTCATCTCTGAGTAAAAGAAACTGAGATAGCCATGAACTCGGCCATTCTTTAGATTGAAAAACAACGTGCCACGTTTGCGGTCTCTCCAGGCTAGAGGTACGGGAAAGAAAAATAATTCTTCCGTGTAGTACATCAGAATGAAAGGCATTCTTGATAAATCAAACATATGAAGTGAGTATGTCGTCGGTATTCCCACCTTCTCACCCGGCTTACCGCGCGCCATGAATAGCTTTTTTTAACTTCATTAGGGGGACCAATGAGTGGTTGTACCTAACGTTACAGACTCTCATCGTCGCTATCCGGCGGACCCTCTTCGATATGTCATAACAGTCATCATTTTTGCGGACAGACTACGAAAAATTGCCGCTTATAACCGAAACCTTCCGAGGCACTTAATCTCTTTCGAGTATGCGGTGGGTGTTGCATTACTTGTCGCAACAGCTACGGGGTGTAAACTTAGCGAGCGTATCAGAGGCGATCGCGGTCATGCAAAAAAGGTTTCTTTGCTACAGTGGCACTATAAGACGCTACATATGCGGCAGTATGAAACTTGTGTGTCCTGCGAGTCCTATTCTGTTGGCTGATAGGTATTATTTGTAAGACTTTCGGGCACGGTAGTTTCACAGAACCCTCGCAAGGACAGGTGGAGTTCTAGTTAGCGACTGAGAAAGAACTGGGCTCTATCACTATCGTGGAGGTTGTACACAGCTCTTTGAAAAATGACTCTCTCTATCGACAGCGGGATCGCAAACCGACGTCCCCGGATGAATGACGGCTATAGAATTTGCGATTGATTCAGGAGCCTCGCAGATTGTTTCGAAAGTAGTAGGATATCGAATACGGATACGATATCCGTGTGCCTTACCGCGAAGACATCAGTGATAGTGTAGACAATTCTGTTCCTCATTTTCTCTGATAGATGATGACTTTGAAGTGTAAAGATCTCTAAGTGCTGGTCTTGGTGCTTAGGTATGGTCTCATTCAAAATACAACGTCACCTTTTCGGCCTGAACCATGATCAGACTGAAAATCTAAAACGCCACCACTTCTCTTTTGTCAGAGGTTTGCTGTCCCTTTCCTGGAAGCAAAAGCGGTTAAGGCATGAAGCTGCAATAACTTCGGCGCGGGGCGTGCGATTCCGACGTGATGAGCAGCGGTGCTGCAGATTTCTTGCGCAAATCTCAAACGGCAATAGTTTTAGTCTTCCAAAGTCTCATGATTTTTAGCGCAATCTCCAGATCTTGACTTGGCTAAACCAGAATAAGCTACAATATGTCTTAGGCGTCTTGGTAAATTGCTGATGAAGCTCTATACTGCTGTTCCCTGGGCCAAAGTCGGTTGAGACGAGTAATAAATAGACGATGTCACGTTTTTCACACCGAGGCAGATGGGGACGGGAGGCATTAAGTCGCAAGTAGAATGGCAATCTTCAAAAGAAAAAATGTTTCATTATTGTCACGATAGGATGATACCGCTGAGTCAGCACAAGCGTGTAACTCACTCACCGCGCAGAGCCGTAATGCTCAATGGGTAAATGGCGCAATAGGTTGATCACTTTTGAAATGAGCGACCGGTGTACTTCTTCGACTAAAGTATCCCCAAATTGTCTTCAAAAGTAATTTTTATTGAGATGGAAAACATGCACCGGAATTATTTGGTAAGTGTTGCAAGACGGTAAAGTCAATGACCAGAGCCGAGTTTATGATTCGATATGAATAAAAAAATTGTGAGAAGGGATACAGCTATCCTCAAGGATCCTATGTACCTTATTTCGAATTCTGTTAGATAAATGTCACGACGTGGTGACAAGAATCCTGCCAATTACGTTGCCTTAGGATGTAGGAGAGCGTAAGTAACTGATTTGTCCTCTAGAACCAAACTCGGTGTCGCAATACAATGGGCCTTACCAGAAATAATTGAGAAGTCATCGGCGCTATCTTATCGGCAAAGCAAGATGCAGGTATGAGCATGATTAAACTATCCCACTCGGCGCCGACTTTCTGTCCCGAAACTAACGGCAAGTGGTAAATTTCGCATGCCATAAGTAAGATTAATACTCCAACTAATTTTGCACAAAGGCTAAATTTCTGAAAGACTGTGCTACGTATGATCTGCCGCACTTGTTATGCCTCTCGATCTGTTGATAACATTTATCAACTACTTCTGATGTCTCTCTCGCTGCAGTAATTACTCCGAGCGAGATGCTCCGGAAGTGACTGTGTATACTTTATGTGCGGTCAAACGCATTAGCATTTAATCGTCTGATAACGCAGCTATTTGGAACGTTTTCACCTATGCACAACCCATTTCGACGATATATTCTATGAGAATCCGGACGGTAAAGCCACAAGTAGCGTGCTGTTGATGGGCTTAACAAGAATCTTGCCAACACTGACAAACGTGCCGGTAGTGTCGATTAGAATTCATCTTTGGGATGCTTTGATCGAATTTGGATTATGATCCGCGTTAAAAATTTAGGCCATTTTTGTTTGGTCAGTGACTCTGTTCTTAAAAATTGATAGTGGTTTAGCATGGCCAAGTATAATACAGAATATGGAGCTGATTTACGCCAATTAGACAATTTTCATCATGCGTGTCGACTATACATCCGTTCTTCACATCAAATTTTTGACTCAATTCAAGGTTTTTGACACAATATTGGAAGTTTTGAATGAATACCGTTCAATAAAGATTGTCAAACGGAACGCGTTAAAATTGGGTATTGTAGGAAATTTCCGACGCAATTGCGTGGAGTCACTTAAGTGTTGGAGCGAAATGCTACAACCCGATGTGCGCTGAGTATTGCTGTACATGCCGCGACAGACTACACATAATTTGTTTGATTTACACCGTGCTTTATCAACGCCGCCTCAAAGTGACGCTGATCTTGTTGAGGAGGGATTTTAATCCTGTTTGACTTGCGAGTGTCAGCTCAGCTAGTATTTGTGCAAAATCCTGTGTAAATTACCTTTAGATTGATTGTGTCATGTAACAAGTAGGTAACAGTGTGGCTTAGGATGTACATAAGCAGCGAATAGACATTACACACAGAAAAAATAGTGAGTAAAAAATTATGGAATGCGATTTACCAATGAACACATCGTCCTCTGCAGTTCGAGAAGAATAGCTGCGACCTCGTTACATCGGACTGCTCACGGCTGTAGCCAGAAACGATTGAGTCGCGCGTGAAACATTCTGAAGCGAATGTGAACACATCCTGTGTATTATATGGGCATGCTAAAGCTATACCATGATCTTGCTTTTTGAGCATTTTGATGACAGAGGTACTTCTCTACCAACATGTGAGGATTAGGTACCTTATCAATAAGGAGACATTACAATTCTGGGCTACGTAGGACCATCAATCTGCTGCACACACTAGCGTACCTCAGATAGCGCTTTCAAAAAAATGATGCGTCTCAAGATCTGTCTCACGCCCAGATATTCAAAGTTATCACGAGAGGCAGTTATAGAAATGATCGGCACTGTATCTAATGGGACTGGTGGAAAGCTCTCATTCGGAGAAATAATTGGAATCTCATTCATGACGATTTTCCGGCGCCGTTGTCGCCTACGACTTGGTACACCCTCTGTCATTGGTAGCTGAAAGAAGAAACAGAGTTGTCTAGCGCTGCACCCATCTCAATCGTAAATGAGTCCCAGTCTTTTTGCAAGTTAGGGAATTGACTTGTAGCTGTAGAAAGAGATCCACGAAGATGAGTAAAGCTGTTGACAGCATGAGTCTGAGGTGACGCCTTTTCACATCGGCATCGATCTTGTGTTTTGTTCTTCGCAAGTTAATCCGATAAATCAAATTTCAGTCAGACGTACGTGCTGTATGTGGTTGACATAGCTGTATGACGGGTAAAGTGACGCGCTTTCTTACCCAGTGCGTAAAGTGGGAACAAGACCCGCATAAATGCTAGCTATTAGCACTGAAAGTACCCTTCTCACAGGGAGTACAATTTTTTATAAACGTCTCTGCTCCATCCGTAGGCGATTCTGCTGACGAATGGGAATTTAAGGGAGCAGATGCACTCTCTAAGGTTTTTTAACCTCTTCTTTGTTTGCGCAGAAGACCCAACATATCTGAACTCCGCTTCGATGCGACGAGCGACTTTAGATGGATTTGTTGCGATTCTTGTGTTTGTAGATAGGCGAGCTTATATCACTTCACAAAGCTTATTGACAAGAAGTCATCGTGAGCCCTGCAATGAGGTGACGCATCACTATTAGTCATAAAGAATGAGAATAGAGCGCGAGATTTGTGCAGAAATTGGAGAAAGCGTGGAAAAGGCGTCTTTCTATAAGGAATACATTTTCCATATGTCTACCTATAACGATGAAGATGTCGGGTTAGAACTCGATAAGAAACTGTGAGCACATCTATCAGTTAACACCTTAACTTTCACACCGATAATGCGTCTAAGGCCGTCAATCGCGTGGGCCGCGTTTTTCTCAAAGGATCGTTCAGCTATAAGAACATACTCGGGAGTCCTCCCTTCGATGAAAATGAGGCTCGTAAGAGGAAAAAACTAAGGTGTGAGTGATAGAGATTCACTTTGAGCGCATTAAAAGCTTGCTGAGCGCGCACTTTTTGCACTGTCTTTAGAAGACAGAATAAGTGTGAGCCACGGGGTCGTCTATACCTCATTAAGGAGTGGTACGTACGGATTTATTGTGTATGTACACTTTACACTCGTATGAAAACGTACAGATCTCGGAAGACCAAAGTACTGATACTGATGGAAACGATAGGCTTCGTATCGGACGTGTACGTGGTGCATGGCGACTGTCAGTATTACGTCATGCAAAACATATGGTATTATTATATAATTTAGTAGAACAAGCCAAACTCGTATCTGCTGTAATTAGATTTCGTTAAAGAAATATTTTTTCCTTGCTAGTAAGATTTGAGAAAAGAAGACTAAGTAGCTTGAATGATTCCATCATCCCTTACCAGGCGGAGTGTACAAATTCATTGTATGCGAGCTGTTAACATGAACCCTTAAGCTAAAACTTTCTCTTTCCATGGTGCATAATTACTGTAGAGGGGTTTCACGTGCCCTGGTATGAAGGGTGTGCGTCACACAAGATGGTGTAATCGCACAATCGTATGAGTCAGACAACTGGTGCGACCACACAATGATGTGGCTACACTTGAACAAAATGTCAGTACGTGGTTGGAACAGCCAGTAGTTATGCATTCAGTTAGGTTTTACTATATCGATAGAAAACCCTATATATTCAGATATAGGCGGCTTTGCCGCAAATAAAAAACCGAGAAATACACTTTACAATTTAAATGGAAGAGTTATTCGGCCTTTAGTGAAGGTAGTAGTTACTCTTGGAGTAAGTGGATTGCGACCCGCTATACTCGTACTGGTTATAAGTATAGATGAAGGTCACCGACCTTAAGTAAGCTTCCTCTTAGCGATAGAGCAACGGCAGCCTTGCTGCTGTTACACCGTTGTATTCACTATTTTTTACAATCTATGCACGTCACTACGATTTGAACACACCACGAGTGTACTCAAAAAGGATTGTTTTAGCGAAAACTTGACACAAACAAACCCGATTTTTTTGTTGCTATATCTCAAAAAGTAAATAAAGCCTTAATTTAAACCATTGATTTTAGTTGCGATTCAAATAATGGCGCCGGTAGCCCACGTATCCTACGGGCCTCTACCTCACTGAGGTTCGTCTCCCTATCTGTACTGAGATCGGTTCTCAACACCTTATCATAGTACTTCACGACGCTAGTTGTGAGCTTTGCTTGAGCTCGATTGACGATAGCATCACAATGAAAAACACACCATTCGTTTCCTGCCGCGAATAAGAGAACGCCAATCGGAATAAAGATGGGTCACAAACCA